GACATGTTCACAGTGTTGCTTTTCTGTTGGTCAAACGTTAAACGAATCCGGTTATTGTGAATAAAGTATTTGGTGTCGCCACATTGTGTTTTAAATTATATTTTCTGTGGATACCATTCGGGAATATAACGCTCCTGTCATGTGTTTTGTAAAAGTATTTATGCTTTGAGCTTACTCAGGGTTTACAGAAAGTATCCGAAGATTAGGAGGAAACTCCAACATTTGTTGTTGTTACCTTTTATATTAGTCGTGAAAAATCTGAGAATCGCCTAATTAAACTAAGTGCTTGATAATAGAATCCGAACGTTAAACACGCCTAATTCCTTGTCTCACGTATTACGGTTCTGGGCCAGTTCATCGCATTTAACACTCTCACAATCTTTACATGAAATCCATTTTAATATTATCTCCCTACCTTCTGGTATTCAGAAAGGTTTGAAATTCTGCACAGGGCTCACTTCTCGTTTCCGTCCCCGAGTCAAGTTTCTACTCCGCCTGTAACTTGATTTCATTGTTGTGCTTCTAGTTGGGCCTTGTGCACATATTTTGAATTTTTGCGCACTGAAGTGAAATTCAAGACATAACTGCACAAATTGCATAAGGAATGTATTGGCATGTATCAGCTTAAAATAATGTTATACAGTTCAATTTTTAACTTTTTACCATGATTGTGTGCCACCTGATGATGGACATGAGACTGAAATATGCGCCTATATTTAACACATAATCAGTATATAAGTAGATGGAAGTATTATCTTAATTAATATCACACAGTAGAATGCCTTTCTTCAAAATTGGTATAATAAATAGCTATGAACACATGTGTGGGCATTTATAAATGTTTCCTTTATTATTGACAGGGTATATACACATTCTGTGATTAAATAACACTATATAACAATGATAATATTTACGGGATTACATTCAGACTTGCATTTGGCCTATTAAAGTAATTGTTGTAAGATAATTTACTATAATTAGTATCTTTTGGGTTAACATTTTGCGTTGCTTTTTTTATTGTCTGTGTAGTAACCACACATGTCAGCTTAAGTCGATGTAGCTGAAATTTAGTTATACGACGAGACTTACAACCACAAGCAATTTGTGTTGAAGTAAAACAGTTTTATATTTGGTTTTTAAATGCGATTTTCGTTCATCCACTGACGTACGACATTTGTTTAATGTTTTATATCTGGATGTGACGTAAATACTGCGGAAATACGGACAGATCGTCGTGATTTAGTGACTAACGCTCTTGCTTCGTATTTGAGAGGACGTAGATTCGATGCTTGGTCTGTCTCGTGTCTTAATGTTTCGTGTGATTTTCCTCAGTCTCCGAAATAAATGCTTTAATAACACTTTAAATAGGCAACGGCCGCTTCCTTCCATATGCATAACTGACATGTCGATAAATTAACTGAGACACAATTAAATAGAGGGTATTCGAGATAAAATAATGGCGATGTTGGCAGGCTGTATGCACTAATGAACCTTTAGGTTTCATGAAAGGCGGGGAACTTGTTGTCTAGAAAAAGGTACTATTACATTCTAAATAATTCTGCTCCATGGAGCCGTGTTATTACGTGTAGCTTAACCGTTACACTTATACCTATAAGTGGCTCAGATTGATTTTTTCTGAGGTTGGGCATACGAACAAACTCGAGTTGATTTTATTACTATTTTAGATTACTAACGGATTCTGGCCACACGCAGAATTTTGAGTCTTGTCAGTGCGAAGAGATAACTCACCCTCTGGGATGTTACGCCGTGTAGTCTTGTAGAATATGGCCGACGTATCAGAGCTGATTGCCGCCTCCATCGTAAGGGAAATCGCCCTGATTCCAGAAGACTATCATCGACATACTCGCCGCCGTGAGAAATTGAAATCCCACTTACTTCAGTTTATTTCATATCCTCACAGCCATCGTTCTAAGTTTTATTGTAATATTATTATTTATTGTACCGTTCGGTATTTTAAGTTTTGGTTTCAAGCTTCTGCATGAGCATGATGTTTTACCTCAGAGCTATATGCAGGCAATCGTAATTTCCCTTATGCGTCGCCCAGCTATAATATGTGAGCTATGTAAATACACACAAGCGATGCTCAAGTACGCGACAGCATTCCTTTTCAACTCTCATAGATGCAAAAGCACTTCAACATAAAGCGAGACTGTGTAGAACGCAAACACACAAAGTTATTTCTGAATAGTGAACTCATTGCCTTTAATAACGTTTTGTGTAATGTGACGACATACAAATATTCCTTCATCCAACATTCACATCATTCCTCACGTGGCAGTAACTTCTGTGATGCGTGTAATTGTCATCTTCGCATAATACGTAACGTATAATCAAGTACGCACGTGTACGCACGCGCGTTCTAAAGTGGCTTCGTTTTGACGTATGGTTACGCTCTTCGCTGGGCACTGGAAAGGTAGATGAGGCAGGTACGATGTGCGCCTGATGATGTCGTTCAGATTACACGCAATACAATAAAGACAGAGAAGTTGCCGCAGTTGTCCGGTGAGTTAGGCTGAGTTTAGAGTTACAGTTTAATAATAGGCCTATAAAGAAGAAATGGGCCACATTTTAATTGCCCCCTTACAAGATTTCTATCAGCAATAAATTATTTACGATAATAGGGCAATAAAATGGCAAAAATCGCGTCTGAAGAATACGTTTACTTCAACGTATATACCAACGTTTCGGTGAAACATACAGGGCTGAAGACACGTTATCTATCTCCGAGTCCGCACAGCGTCACAACCCGGAAGAACAAAATTGTCAACCTCACTGCCGTGAGATCAAGTAATATTTAGGCGTTTACTCCAAAATTGAGTCAATGTCAAAGCTGGAATAAATGCATGTACCATCCTTGCATGTCTCCCATATAAACATACTTTGTAGTATTTCGAAATGTAATTAAGTTGAAGAATTCGATCTAAAGTAATACAATCTTGGTGTCGGAAGGTTTGACGCAGTTTTACAGTTACCCTCACTTCGAATCTAGACCGTTGAAAAATAGCTTCTGCATTTTTTCGTAGAAGACGTGTATTATTTTACTGCTGCTATGAATTATTGTTTGATACACGATACACAGTGGATGTGGGGAGTCTTGAAGGCTGCGCGTTTATTTATTAAGTGATTCAGTAATACAGTAAGAAGTACTGGGAAGAATTTATGAATCTGTGATCATTTAAATGCTTTCAACTATATGCGATTCCATTAGAAGGAGATATGATTACATAAATTTGTTATGTTAGCGATTACACACGTGCCAGGCAAAACGTTATGAATATTTTCACGTACAAGTCATGTGATTGTTACAGTGAATAAAAATACATATTTTAATGAAGGAAGATAACTTTCACATCTTGGTGGTCAAAACCAGTGGTATTCAACCTTTTTGTTCGCGTACCCCCAGATATAATTTCACTTCAACTTTGTACCAACATAGTTGTTGGTGTATAATTCAAGTTATACATGGTATATAATCTACATTTAAATAAATTATATAAATTACATCCAAAATAATGTATTAAATAATAAGTTTTAAATGAGAAAAAGGAGAATCAAGCTATTAAATAACAAATATTACCTATCATATACAAATTAATAAAGGAAAAAAGGTATTTTAGCAAAGAAAAATTATATGTTTAAATCCCGCCCAATAGTGTTCAGTCAGGTTCCGAAGCACTATGTGGAATAAAATGAAACTAGCCGCCCAGATAAGAATAGCATAAGGGGGGGGGGAGAGAGAGATGGCGTTCCCAAATCGAATGTCCTTACGTCCGGTTCTCCTGTGGCTAACCCTAAATCTGGCCCTGATTATTCAGCTTTTATCATTTTTTTTTTAATTTCACGTACCCCAGGTTGAATACCACTGGTCTAAACTACACAGATATCATTTATTAGGCCGAAGTGTTACATAGAAGTACACCAGATATCCTATGCTTAAGGCTCATCGTATGAATATACAAACTATTTTTTGTTTTTGATAATGTGGTTTATTGAGGCACTTTCTACAGTCAGGGCAATTGAAGGAATTGTTTTCCTGTGTTAAGTAGTGACATTTGTACAATTTTTCTGAGCGTAGTTTGACTTGGTTAGACGTAATTAATATACGTTTTTGATCTCTACAAGTTCACTTTTATATCTATAACTTTACAATTCACTGTCACTTCATATGGGCACGTTGAGTTTAGCGATCCACGAATCAGGCAAGAAATTGCCTAACAACTTAGCTTCCCCAACTTTCAGTATTCTCTTCGGTAATAATCTTATTCATCTGGGTACACGAGGAAGTAGTCCTACCCAGACGGAAGCTTTCAGTTTGTGTTGCTACAAGGAAGTTCCGTAGTTGGGCGTTTGATGTCCAATCTTCTCCGTTTATTAATAAAGTTAATTAATATGCACAGATGAACTTTCGATTAGCAGACCGACGAAGTAACGAAGGGAGTACATACCATGTTAGTGGAACTCACGTCACAGTTTAATTTTCAGTCTTCACACGTCAGAATTTTTACCGGCTCACCGATCAATGAGTAATTTTGAAATTTCTTCGCTCTACAGATTTCACACCGCAAATATTAGGTCCAGTAATAGACAAATATATTCGTATTTCGTGTAATATATAGTACGATATATCAAAACATATCCAGTTTAAGTTTCATGCTAACTTAAAGTTATATTGGATCTTCATTGACGAATTCTATTAAACTGTTTCCGAAATAAAAAAGGGAAAACCGGGCTACTTTAATTTTCTATCAGGCCGGTGTATTAATTTTTATGAACTTTTACAAAGAACATATAAAAACAGAAATGACGAAAGTTTGAAAATAATTTTTGTAACTCTGCTGCCGAATGTCTTGTTATAATTATAAATGCAGTACGTGCGCTATCATACAGTCAGAATACAATTTTTTGTGCAGTATGTTCGAGTGCATTACCGGATGATACAATAAGGCGCTTCTTCATGGGTTGTGTTTCTTCTGTTGTAGGCAAACAACGCCTACACGCGCGACCAGTGGTTCCATTCCATCATCTGGAAGGTAAGCTAACACCGAAACCCCTCTAGAATGTACAGGTGTCCGAGAAAGAGTGCACACGTTTTAAACATTTTTATTAAGAGAAGCATTTTAAACTTCTTTATTCAGAAAATAAACAGGGCCAGAAGAATGTAATTTTCACCAAATGAAAGCGATAATTGTTCTATTAATCGCGCATGAATGGGCTAGTTGCATGGCCTGCAAGATCGCCGGATTTAACTCCCGTGGATTTCTTCCTTTGGGGGTATACAAAGGACCAGGTGTACCGCACACGAGTCACTTGTTTTCAAGATTTGAAAAAAAAACGCATCTTCCATTCTGTGGAAGGAATCACGCCTCAAATGTGTGGCAACGTTTTTCGGGCATGTGAATACCGGATGGACATTGTGCGAACAACAAAGGGAGTTCGGGTCGAAGTGCAGTGAAATGTAGAAAGTTGGGGAAAAATCTTTCTGAGTTACTGTTTCATGTGGTGAAAACTGTTCTCTCCTATCTCTGTTTATTTTCTCAATAAAAATGTTTAAAATGTGTGCACTTCTTCTCGGACAAATGTATTATTCGTGTTCTGCAGCAACTATGTGACGAAATAAAGTATTTGAATTGTATTTGTATGACGACAAACGTAGTGAGCCCTTTTATAAATGAGAAAATAGTAATAATACATGTATATTTAATGAAACTAGCCCCCATTCCGTATTCTGTAACCAGATACTAAAAGTTTTAATATTATAACTAAAAGTTAGTATTATAAGCAAATCCACTACGTTTAAACAACCAATCTTGGAAAAGTTCCTTTAAATGAAATACTCATTTTGAATTATGCGAAACACCGACTTGCTTAGTATTTTCGTGATTTAAATTGCAGTTAATACCGATACAATAATTTGGTTTTATTTTTCAGTTTCAATATTTTAAAATATTTTGTTAGAATATGTCTGCTAGCATAAGAACTCGGTCCCCCTGAAAAGTTTCTTCTAAGCCGTTTGTGTTGATTCGCTCTACTAATATTATGTGTCTGATGGGCACTCAGAATATGCAAACCTGTGTCACATTATTGCACTAGGACTAGTAAATGATAAGTGTTTTACTTCTTTATTTTACTGTAATTAATCTAACCACAGATGTGAGTGATCAGAATTATTTTAATAGCCTGTTTATCGATTATAAAGAACTGCAACGGAGTGTGAAGACATGGAGTTGGAGTAAGACTGTGTTGTGTAGTGAAGGTGACGCTGTTCATGTTAGCGGTTAATTAAATTTAAATCCCAGACATAAAATCTGGTCAGCTATGTGATGTACGGAGGCAAAGTCTACAAGTACTATTTTACTATTATTGTTTAAAATTGTAACAGCTAACAACTGCTGTGTTAATTATAGGATGTAGGTCACAGTTATAAACCAGTTTGCTGTCTGTCAGTATTGAACTGAGATGCCATACTACGGCCTTGAAGTGTGTTAAAAGGTGATAGCCATTCCCGTAACTTAGCGACAGAAATTTGCTGTAAAGGCCATGTGCTTTTCATTATCTGCTTTGGGGAACAGGCTACAGGACTCTTGAATATGAGAATTGGTTCCAAAGTTGTTATAGGGTTCCGCTGCCGAGTATCAAAAATCGGTTACATATTTCATAGCCACTGTCGAATTGATACATAATGACTAATCTATTTTTTGTTGTATGTTAGAATTGCTATTCGTTTGTAATCTTAGAGAAATTTGTAATTCGCATCAATAGGCTATGAAGTAAAATAGGGTATTATCTTTTATAAAATATATAAATAGGGGTCCGCAGTGGCCGCGCGGTCTGAGGTGTGGGCCTTGTACCGCTTGGTCGCGGTGACCGTGGGTTCGAACCCCGCTCAAGTCATGGATGTTTTTCTGTGTTGTGCTGTCCTGTGTACAGGTAGAGGCCTTGCGACGGGCCGATCCCTCGTCCAAGGAGTCCTACCGAATGTCCATAGATCAAGCCAACTAAAAAGTTGGGGACCCGTAAAGGGTACCGGAAAATGTACAAACATTGTTAAACCGGAAAAGAAGAAGAAGAAGAAAATATATAAATATATATCAGATATATTTGACCCAGTCACATACAAACTTATAGCATTGAGACGTGGATCCCAACAAGTTATAATTGGTTTTCTGGTAGGTTTCAGTGGTTTGATGACAAAAGGAATGACTCGTTTCCGACGGGAATTGTCGTTTCATTAGAGCCGAATTCATAGGCCCGATAGCAAGAAAATAAAATGGGTGTGGGTGGAGGAGATAAGTGGCTTATACAGAGGATGTCCCAACACCTGCCCACACATTCGACGTAACACTTGAGGTGTAAGACTTGAAAGAATTCATTACCATGAAAAAATAATGTACTAGCGGATTAATGGGATTGAATGATGCAATACGCGTGAGCGGTGCGCCGGGGACGAGTTTATTTTGTACATTGAACGCCAGTTTTCGCCCTTGGGTATGTATGTGCCAATCCTTGCTATAATACTTAAAATGTTTTATTTCACCTTCGTGAGCAATCGTCCGAGAGTAAGTGGTTATAACACGTTACGATAAGCGAACAACAACACCTGTATAGATTGTAGCTGAGACTGGAAGGTTCGTACAGTTGGTATTTACTACAACTTAGGTTAAATAAGTTTCCTTAACTCATGTCATGGGTTTCTGGTAGTTGCCATATTATTTATGCTAAGTTCAATTTTAATTATTCTTCACCACCACTAAAATTGATTTAGAAGTGTGTTGATTAACACAATCTGGTTATTGTATAGGGTACTTTTTTATTTCAGAAGACACCATATGAAAGCAAATCAAGTTATTATTTTAAATAACAAAGAGGAATAAAATTTCATGTTAATAAAAGAAAATACCAGTAAAGTAAACTGTTCTGTTCCAGGTTATAGAATTTTCAGTGGTTCTCAATATTTAAAGAGCTTTTTGTCCAATAGTAGATATTTATAAATATAGTATAAGTGGGTGTTTTACGTTATGCTATTACCTACTTGAAAATACATAAATATGGCGAGGGAACAATTAAAATAAAGACTACACCGAATGTGAACAGCTACGGAACAGACCGCATCACGCTCAAATTAACGGATTAAACTTATGTTTAATTCCACGCGTCTAGCTGTTGGGTATAATTACCCTCTGCATAATACTTGTTAGCATTACAAGCACACACTGTGTAATTATTCGACAAAATTTTGTGGGCAGAGTACAAAAAGTGCTTAAGTGTCCGAATTTAATTTTAAATAACAAGACTTTACAATTTATTTCGATATCCAGAAGCGCATATTGGATCTTTTTTTCAGCACATCGTCGCATTTTTTGTCTAAGAGAGAACAAAGAGATGAAGGTTGTCTTCTGGGCTGTTGCCCCGTGCAGTCTGGTAGAAGATAACCGACGTTTCAGAGGTCCTTGCTGTCTCCATCATTGGAGCTTCTGTACTCCGAGCTGCTGACAGCATCCTTAAACATAACAGAAATAAAAAGTAAATTAATGGTCTAAAACTGTGAGTCTCTTAAACTGTCAGAATGATTTATACTACAGAATTGAAGTCATTCGGTTAGGTTGTGTATTGGGTGTTTAAGTTGTGTAAAAAACCCATTTTTGGATGCGAGCCCTTCAACATTCACCGCTCAATTTAATATTTAAGTATCGCAGGCAAAGTAGCGCAAAATATTGTACTGTGTATCCTCTGTGACGATACATCTTGGTGTGGCCTTTGAGTCCCTTACACTTTCAGCGTTTATCATGTTACATTTACAATAATAGAAATTGTCTGTTGAAATCAGGGGCGATAGTAGTAACAGCAGCAGCTGTTTTATGTAACTGTGATTTCGATGGCGGAAGCAATCAGAAAAGAGTTGGCTTATTAGTGTTACTGGTAGGAGTATATGTATCTGTTTCATTGTGTTGGTTAGTTAACCATCACAGGACATTCAACCCGGAAATTGTTATCTGCCTCTTTCCAAAATTAATCCTGCTCGACTCCATTTTAATTCTCTCCAGCCGCTTTCCTGTGGTGGTCCAATCAATATCGACTGTTTTCACCCTCCTTTCCTGTAGCATGTGTATTGTTACACCTCCTGCTTGTGTTCTCAGGATTCCTATTTGTTTTGCCTTCATGTTCTCTATTAACACCCTGCTATTTCGTCGTCGAACGGACAGTACATTGACATTACACAGGCTTTTTGTTGTATTTCCGTTAACAACCGAATGTTACCTCTTAGTGAATAACAGTTGTACTTTATAAGCCTATGTGGGAATGTCAAGTTTATTGAATACCAACGTTCCGTCTAACCCATCGGTTTCCGGAAGAAAAGCAATGTTTGGTGGCGATTATTAAACGCGTCTGGTTGAGTTTTAGTTTATTTAACTCTGTTGTTTCAACGAAAATTATTTTGAGATTTCAGGTTCTCTCGGCGTCGAGTATAGGATTACTTGTTATGCATGTTGCACCGTGTAGTATGGTAGAAGTTTACCGACGTTTCAGAGGTAATTGCTTCCTCCATTATTAGGGCGATGATCACCCAGACACACTGCGAAACAACCCAGAAGACACATTTTCTGGAAGTTCTTGGTCTATCCAAAACACTTAAGTCGGTTGTCTACATAACGCAGCGTTGAATTGTGGAACGATTTTTGAATGAGTTTTTAAAAAGATGTGGAAGGAAGCGATTGTAGACTTTAGCAAGGTTATGTCTCGGTATTCCCCTGAAGAGACTGTGAAAAATAATGGAAACTTAATAAAGAAACCATTTTCCTCGTCTTAGGTACATGCCCTGCACATAATTGAGTCCATTATGCCAGTATCCTGCAAGTACTCTGTGATCTGTGTGAACCAGAAGCTTAGACCAGATTGAATAAACATAATACTGCTAAACCATTGATATGTTCACAGGATACATTAAATAAAGTTGCATCTTGTTGATAGAAGGAAAGAAAAGTAGAACTAATTTGTTTTTCTTTATTTGATAATAACATTAACCATGATGATAATTTCTCGTTGGCATACAATATAATACTACCAACTCTGAACTAGCATTATTGTAAGTAAATTGAAAATGCTGTTTGCTCAGTAAATAATATTTAGGCCTGTGAATCAAAAGATTAGATTTCAGACAAAACTAGAATTTGTGATCTTATCATTAATATATCACGTAATGTGTCAGAGGAGTGTAAATACTTTTAAGTTGCAAGGTTAAACTTCAGGCGTAATCAGGCCCGATGTACAAGTGCAAGGAAGGAAGGACACAGTTACCGAAGAGAACCGTTATTAATGATAATGACTTTGGACTTGCTCAATGATTCTTTGTTGCATACCTGCTCTGTCGTGCATAAAACACAGAGGTGTGGAATCATCTTGAGTCACACATGCAAACGACTGTGTGAATAATGTTTTTTTTCTAATGCTCACGTTTAATATGTAGCTAGAGGTAGCTCAGAATTTATAGTTCGTTTAATTTGCATTCTGAACATTCGTGAATCTCGTTCCTAGACTGTAATTGACATTTTTACAGTAATTCTTATTCCCGAACCAGCGATTTTCACAATTTTCTGGGAGGGGGGAAGGTTTACTGAGGCAGAATATAATAATATATTGTGATATTCTGTGGAACTGTTAGCAATTTTCCCGTCTGAATAGTTTCAGAGTGATGAATTAAAGTACATTACAATCAAGTGGCGAACTATAAAACTAAAATAGATAAAATGTAAATGATTAATTTCGTTAGAGGCTACTGGAATATTAGTTTCAAATACGTCTCTTGTTTCGATACACACTTCCATTGAACTTTATGGAATCATTAAGGGATTCTTGGCATCCTGTTTCTAATATTGTGCAATTTCATTTATAATGAAATATGTCGACATCAGTCGGTCGGAAAGACGAAGAATATACACAAGACAGGATCGAAGCTTTTTAAGTGAGATGGGAGGATGACTGTGATGAACTGAACAGGGTGACAAGGACGTTTTATGGTCAGGTGCTACTATTGTAGCAACTGCTTGGAGGTCCAGAGAAAAACAACGAAAAATCTCAGGTTAGTCGGTGCCCCAGTCAAAATTCGACTCTAATGCTTCATTCGTGTTACAGCTTGAATGCTAATAACCATGTTGTTGAAGCACCATTAACCCACTATTTACTAACTTAAACTAGTGTACTCGTTGAAGTATGTGTTGTTAATTGTCGGACGTAATTTTGACTTAATTCACTCCGTAAATAGATATTTATATTATTTGTTTCTTTTTCGTTTCAGAAAAACATATTCAAGTACCGCAGCATCCTAAAGCGGTCGACGAGGCCAGAAGTAATACTGAAAGAACTGAAGGTAAGTGGATGTTTTGCACTTAATATTGATTTATTATCTGTGTAAGACGAACGAGAAGGAACTTTTAGATTAAATTAAACGTCGTCACTTCAGGATGGCTACAACGTATATGATAACATCGTCACCAAAGTTTAGTTCCTTGGGATGCAAGTCGTTAAACGAGTCGAGGAATTAAATGAATGTTCTTTTTGTCCTTTTCGATGTCGTGTTAATCGCGTAACAATACAATACTATCTGACAACGCTTTATGTTACGAACACTAGAGAAAAACATAATTTGTTCTCGGGCGAAAATTTATGCACCGTGAAAGTATTAAGTCTTGCATTTGATGTTTGTTATTATTTTATAGGCTTATTCCCATCTACGGTTATTTCCGACCTGCATAACCAAAATTCTCTTTGGAATATCGGTCGTCAAAGTTGTACTGAACATGTTTAAACCGAAGACTTCTGTATGATACGGAAATGTATGGATTACCTGCGGTGTGCAGACTTGAAATGGCCTTAATGGAGGGACGAAATGGCAGATATTTACAGTGTTGAGTTTTCACGAACAGTGGTGTAAACAGTATGAGATGAGTCGTTAGGATTGACCAGGTTTGGGAAATTTGAAAAATAAAGATGGAGAATGAGACAGCATGTTTCTCCGAAACATTGGTATCCACATGATGTCACAGTCCGGAAGAACAGCATCAGTATGTTAACCGCTGCGAAAAACTGAAATATCATAGTAGAATAATCATCCGTAATTTTGAAAGGCGTTGTCGCTATTATGTTAATGGTATCTACGAGAATGGTCTATTCTGCATACTTAGTCGCACCCAGCATTATAGTACATTACTATTACTTGTGCTTTCCAGTGGGTTTATGTAACACCTCAACCATGGTAAATCTTGATATTTGTCAACACCAACATGCGAGTCATAATCTGTAAAGAACAGGACAGAACACGTGTCAGATAAGCTTGAAATTGTGTGCAAGACAAAATCATTCCAAACATTTAAAATATTCAGTTGGTAGGACTACTATGTGTATCGCGATTATTGATCCTGTTTTATATCAGCATTTCAAAGCACCGAACGTCGTAGCTGAGTGGTTAGATTTCGTGCTTCGTATCCCGGGTTCAAATTTTGTTCCGGAGACTGGCTCTCCTGACAGGATTTTCGCGGTTTCCAGGCAGATGCCAGGATAGTAACTTAAATTAGGCCATGATCGCTTCCTTCCACATCCTTTCCAGTTTATTACTCGACGTCTTCCTGTCATCCGACCCATACTCCGGAAGCATTTACAGTTTTATTTATTTTAAGTTTATTTCCTTCTAGATGCTTATTGTGGCCATATTTTTATGCACCATGTAAGAAATATCGCATGATCGGAGTATGTATCCTGTCGCGGGTATGAGAAGTTGTTTAATTGGTTGCCGTATTTGTCCTAAGTTAATATGTTATCATGACAAATGATGACAAATACAGAGTATGAAACGCCCATTCTAGTGACTCTGTACCAAAATTTTCAGCTGAATCTTGTTTCTGAAACGTATTTACTAAACTAAACATTTTTGTTATTTGCAAGTTTGCTTTATCATGAAATACTACAGACGCAAAATGGCGACTGTAGCAGAGAATGTTCTGATATGGCACGGTTGTGTGGTTGATAATGTACGTAGATAAAAGCATGGCCTGTTGTTGAACGTGGGAAACTGCCATACAGCGTAGAGTTTACTGAGACAAGTGCTTGTTTAAGAAATGTTTGTACTTGTATTTCGAGATCGATATAGTGGAATAAAAAATAATTGATTTATAACTTTAACAGTTTTGTTAATGTTTGTAGCCGGTGTTTAGTTCCTGATAAAGATAGAAAGTACACGTTTCTTTATTCTAATCATGGAATAATAAGTGTCGGCTCCAGATACTCATAAGTCTACATGAAATAATTAAAAACGATTCCGAAATTCAAATTTAGGATTCTTATATATCGGTATGTATGAATCAGTGAAGCGATTAATTAATGTAGACATTGTGTGTTTTCCAAACTAATTCCATTAATATATTTTGTAATCACTTGCACCCTAATATACAATTACTAGAAATAACTCAGTGTTAAAACATTGAAGAATTCATTACAGTTTATAAATTTTTTGAGTACTAAGTTTGGATCTAGACTATTGGAAATTTCAATCGGTTTCAAGGGGCCCTACCGAGTCGTACGTCTGTCACAAACTTCCGTTCTATTCTTGCTGTAAAAAACTTCCATTGGAGATGATGAGATGATTCTGGTCGAGTGAGTGACCTTTGTGTGGGCGGGGTGTCTGGCTGGGTGATGACGTTGTTACTGACAGCTCCCTCTTTCCAGGCAGCCATGGTAACCAAGGGGAAATGTCTGTAGTTATACTGAGATTAGCTCAAAACATTGTCTGTGCTGGTATGTAAAGTGGTCGTTAAAATGTTCGATCTAAATGAACATTCGAATGGCTGGACAAATTTCTGGTATATTTTATAATATAAAATTTAATCGAAATTTGTTTATCTGTTCTCCAGTTGTTTCATACGTACTGACAGACAAATAAACGGGCGGATTTATTAAATAAGCGCTCTGCAGGGTTGCGAACGTGCCTACAAAAGGCGCTGTGAAATTATATTATTTTAAATGGGTTATCATTGTGCACTGGAAGGTACTATTTTTATACGACACTGAAGTAATCAGCAAGCAGCTTGTAGATATTCGTCTTCGTCACATAATATTTTGTCCACCATCACTCCATCATCATCACTGCATTATCTTTTCGTTGTCATGAAAACATAACTTTGATAATAAACCCCGATTACCAAACTCCGTTTTATTGTTTGTAGACATAACTAACTGACAAAAATATGCAATAAGATTGATGCCTACGCTAGATTTTGCATAAATAAAATGACGTTAAAACTACAAATATCAATTAAAACAGAGGAACTCGGAGATATAGGTTAATTACTTCTGAAGAAGAATAGCTGAGCTTTTTTACGGATGCCAGTTTCTGGAACTTCATAATGTAAATTTAGATTTAAATAAGAGAAAAAATTAAAGTGATGTTGAAACAACATGCTATTTCAGACTGTTCTGTGAAAGTGAGAATTTAATTAAAGAGATCCTTGAGTCTGTGGGCGAGAGACAAGACGACGTTGAAAGCGGCGCACCGTAAAGGACGTTTCCACTGCGACCAGGTCTGTACTCTGACACTGTTTTCCAAATACTTTAACTCTGCCGAATTTTATCCGTCTGGCTGTCATTTAATGTGATGTGGTCAGAACTGGCGTACTTTGAAGAGCTGCTTTCTGCCATTACGTTACTTAAATCGGTTGCTGTTGCTGCCATCTTTACATCTGTTATTCCGCCCTATAAACCCCCAGAGATTGATACACAACTCTTAAATAACCTATGAAATAGACGGTTCTGGTGAGAATAATGGGTCTTGTGGGTTAGAAGAACGTGGACATTTGCAGACACGCCCGACTTGAGTTGGCTTCCTTCGGCTATCTAATTCCATGGAGCAGGTTCTTTTTAGAAGCTTTTAGTCACTTAGCTGGCAAATAAATTTCATACTCGAACGTTCATTTTCACAAGAGCCCTCTACTGGATCCTATTCTCAGCCAGCTCGATCCATTTCGCACCATCCCACACCATTTCCATAAGACTTACTATAACACGTTTTTTACATCTACGCTAAGGTCTCAGAAATAGTCTCTTCCTTTCAGGATTTCATACTGAATGTTTTGTGTATGTTTCATCTCTCCCATGCATATTCTCTCTCTTCCATCTTATCCTTGGTTTAATCACCCTAATAGTATTTGGTTAAGTATTATGAAGTTATTGAGAATGCCGTTTTCTGCATAGTACTGTTAGGTTTTGTCTTTCAGGTTTAGATATTCTTTTCAGCACCTCCTCCTCAAACTTTTTTAATGTGTGCTCTTTTATTTTAACGTGAGCGAACAAGTTTTGCATCTATCCAAAACAGCAGGTGCCAGACGAGAAGACCATAATGGACTTTGAACCCGAACTGTAGCAGGAATTCCCAGAATACTATCTGCGCTTCATTTCTTCGTGAGGGTTCCTACATGAAGTTTCAATCACACGCGTTGAACGCAGCCAAGTATTCATAACTTGAGTGTTTTAATTGCATTTGAATCATTGATAAATGGCAACAGAGAGAAAAGTAATTTTTTTCTTCAGAATTAATCACGTTTCTTTGCAACTGTTAGATACTGCTCGTATGTCTACTCTGTGCGTCTGAATGACGTTAATAATAAAATCCTTCCGCTCTTGGTCAAAAAGGAACGACTCATGTGTAGATACACGATTATCTCCCATGTAAGTGGTCGTTGGGCGTTTTATTTGAGTTTCAGGAGGAACATTAAATTCACATAAAAGTATTAAGAAATGAAACAGGGAAACAACGATACGCCTTTTCTAACATGCCGCCATGAAACTACAAAAATGACTTTTAGTGAACACTATAAATTAATTTTAATTTCAAGAAACTTCGTAAATGTAAAATTAGCTGCCACGTACCGTTTTAAACTACAGTGACATTATCGTATGAAATGTATTGAATATTTATTTGTGGACTAAAGAAATCCTTCACTATACGGAGATTTAAGGGCCAGGGACCCGAAGGGAAGACCATGTATGGCGCAGGTGCCATGGAGAATATATGAACCACAGAGAAACGGATTAACAGGATGATGGAAGAAATTACATAACGAGGAACTTTATTTGTGTACTCTTCGCATAAAAGGATCGTAAATATATTGTATAATTTCCGGTTTAAGAAACACCAGCAAATCTAGGGAAATTACATTTTGGTTGTCATTAAATTGCTAAGAAACTGACAATGGACTTAATGTTTTTGGATCACTCCACTTGTTTTGAATGGTTCAGCAAGAATGACTGCAATAATAAAATGTGTATTTGCCGTATAGACTCTGTATGTATTGTGTCCTACATAATAAACCTTTCCGTTTA